CTGGCACCCACCACTAGTGAAGACCCACCACGTCATCACCGCAGAGTTGCAGAAACAGCTAGAGGACAAAGACACTGCCATTTTTTCGCTACAGGTCAGTCGAGCTGATGTTCAGTACATCTTGCTATAGGAATAGGGGGAACAAGTGTTATTAGTGAGGAATATGAGTATAGGGTTTGAATATGAACAAATACAATAAAGTTGGTACAAAGATGAGATGATCAATAACAAAAATAAGTCAAGATGATATACAAGCGAGTAGGCCCATAGTTTCCTTTCATGAATGTGGCTGTGTTTCACCTAATAAGATGTTATTGTAGTCGTGTATACCTTCACAGTAGCTTTGTAAATCTATGAACATGTGGTCAACAGATGCCAGGGCACAGCTAAGGTTGTTTTGATATTTTGTGGGCATGATTGAAGTAAAAGTGTAACAAACTAAAGTTTGCTGCTTATGATGAGTTACTGTTTAACAGACAGCATGGAAAAACTACAATTATGGTGGAAAGGGGGGAGTGGATAGAGGGAGCCAATTGGTGAATGAAGCCCAGCATCTGTCAATCTGTCCACAATAATTTTCTGTCATTATTATTATTACTTTCTTTTTGGTCATTCTAAGATATATGTGTCTAAAACTTGATTTTCCTTAAAATTGCTTTTTGCAATGTTTGGTTTCCTCGAGTTGGTGATCAAGTCAAATTTGTATCAACAGAGTGACCTGAACCAGGCAAAGGATGAAGTGGACAGATTGCAACAACGACTCAATGCCTTGGCCTCCCTGGACTGTAAGGATGCAGTCGTCAGTCTCAAAAGGGAGTTGGCGTCTCTCAGGGGAAAGGTAAGTTGTTACCTCAAATGGTTCTCATAAGAGGACTGGATAACTTCCAACACATTCTCCCTTTTAGCGTATGCTGTTATTATTTAGCCTGTTTTTGATATCTCTTTCATGCATTGGTTTTGCTACCACTATGACTGATTCTGTTATTACAAAACACTTCAATCACTTCTTGGACTTTTTCATAACTTACCTATGTAGTTTTTCTACAACTTTCACGTAGATTTCCTTTGCTACACTATACACGTTTTTTTCCCCTCGTTCCCTGTGTAATACCTCATTTTATATTGCTATCTGTATCTGCTGTGCCTCACTAGACAAGCATGCAATGAAGTTTTAGTGAAAGGAGGATGCATTGTAAAAAGAAAGTCCTTTATGTTTTTAGAATAAGTAGATGTATGCTAAAGGTTGTCCCATGAAGAGGATCAAATCTGATATCCTTAGAACTACAAACCAAATTTTAACACAGATAAGGATAAATTACCAGGTTTCTTTCAGTCTTGACATTAATCCTAAAAGTGTTTGGGGGTCCTCACTTCTTTCTCTACTGATTTTTTTTTTTTTTTTCTTAAAAAGGGTAGTCATTAGGCTTATTCTTTTTTATTTTAAAAGGCTCCATTTTATTGTCCACTATATCATTTTACTCAGGTTTATGTTAAGAGCTTCTGAACTTGAACATTTAACATTATTTTTATGAATTATTATATTTCTATATACATAGAGGTATTATATTTTATCCAGCATATTACTCTTCCAAGATATTTATTTAATGTTAGTATTTGAATTAGTAGATTATAAACATTAAATTGTGAGCCCACAAAAGTTAAAAGGAATATGCTGATGAGAAATAATATAACATTCTGATATGTCATCATCATTTTTGTTTGTTTCATCTCTTCTTTGAAACTCATACCTAATATCATTTGCTTTTAGGTTCGTGATGAAGGAGCAACCTATGTCAACTATATCTCAGAGTTGTCCTCTCGTCTCCTAGATGTCTTGTTACAGGTAAGTCAGCTATTGTGTTGTATTCCAGATATTGTTTGCTTCTGATGTATAGTCAGCTATGATAAGATTGTATTGTATTGTAGATGGTAAGGAAATGAACCATGATTATAGTTGTACAGTTCAATCTGTAAAAGTAGTAAGAATGAAGTACTTTTTCTGCTGACTTTAAGGTTCCTTGATATACAACTTTACTTGCATGTTTTTGAATAGGTGGATGGTAAGGAATAATGTATGGACTGGTGTACAGATAACAGTGGAAGAGCGCTTTGATTGATTTAACTACTAAGAAATTCATAATGTGCTCTGATCAAGAAAGTGGAAGACAAGCTTCCATAAACAGACAAATACATAGATAAAAAATTAGTTCCGTTATATTGAACAGAAGTTAATCATTAATGTAATGCTTATAAAGGGAAATTCTAAAAGGCAAAAACAGTGAGAGTCAGTATTAAGATATTGCGTTGAATGTTGCAAGCGTTTCAGGATACATTTGTTCTGAAAACAGATTTATAACAGGGGCTCTCAACTTGTGTGTGTGTTCAGAGTCAAGATTGCTGTGTTACTGTACCAGGGGTTTTATTTATTTAGTATGTTAAAATAGATTTTTAAAATGCGTCTTTCTTGCCCTGTGTCTACATGCAGCTCTGAAATTTACCA